TTCAAACTATTCTAAGATATCTGAGTCATTGAAAGAAGGAAACTTAAAACTGACATTAAACCCTTTAAGATGAGTTTCTATTTCAAGACAAGAAGAACAATACTGTCTGTATAAATCCAACAAAAGGAACTTTAAACGAGAAACCTATAAATGAACTTCTTTTGAAAGCAGATGTTGACAACAAAGCTGACAAAGAATATGTAGACGATGCAATAGCAAAAGAAGAAGAAAGAGCTAACAATGCTTATGCAACAAAAGAACATACTCATCCTGAACTAGCAGACAAAACATATGTTGACAATAAAATGTCAAGTGAAGTGACAAGAGCTGAAAACGAATATTCTAAAAAGACTCATACACATTCTATATCTGAAATAACAGACTTACAAGAAACCTTAAACAGTAAAAGTGCCGTTGGACATACACATACATCTTCTGAAATAACAGACTTAAACGTTAGCCTTGAAAAGAAAGCAGATAAAACATATGTCAACGGAATATACCAAAGTTTGATAGGAACAACAAAAAATATTGAAACTATTGTTGGTGACTTTTCTGTCAATGAAGAAAATAAATATTTTAGATGGCAGTTTGTACAGTCCTTAAGAAATGGTATACGGTATAAACTCATTCCGAAAAATAACAATGAAATGTATGTAAGCTATATAAAGAATGATGGTACACAAGTTAAAGTTCCATTAGACAACAACTGCTACTTAAACTTATATGGAGACGAACAAAAGAAATATTTCCGAGTTTATGAAATGGCAGATATGACATTGCCTGACCCAGCTCCAGCACCATATTATTATGACTATGTAGATGACGAAGGAACACTACATGCAGATGAACAAAAGCAAACATTATATTTAGAATATTATAGATATAAAAGATATAATGCATAGAAAAAACGAGAATAGTATACTATTATATAGATGACAGAAATAAATATTATAGTCAAGATTTTACCTACCCTGAAAACATAAGATTATATTATAAAAAAATATTCTTACACAAACCAGAAGAAACCTGAAATAGTTGCACTATATTTTAAGTTCAAAAGAGACAATCCTATAATGTCTCATATGTTTGATTTAATGAACCCAGTAGGTTCTATTTATAATCTATGGAAGCAAGAGGTCCTCAAGTAATGTTTGGTGTTGGTGCATGGGAACAAATAGTCGACAGGTTTTTGTATTGTGCAAACTCTTCAAAGGAAACAGGTGGTTCGAAGAAAATTAAAGAAGCAAACCTTCCACCGCACACTCATACAGGAACTACAAACTTTTCTGGCGACCAATAGCCACTCATTAAGAGACCACCCATTATACAACTCAGAATATTATGCTGGCAATGACGTTTTATCTCCAGATTATAACCATTCAGCAAAAAAGACTTTCGTCGACCAACTGAACCAGGAGGAAATCATGTCCATACTTTCACAACAAATCCAACAGGCTTGGGTAAAGAATACATGCCACCTTACATGACAGTTTACGCATGGTATAGAATTGCTTAGTCGTCATTTTCAACTTCTTTAGCATATTCGTCAGGAGTTGTCTTATATTTGTTAGGAACTGTCTTTGAAAGTATACACCTTGAACTTTGACAAGTTTGAAACGACGAGGTCTGACAATAGTAGTTTTTATCTTCTGCTTGCAGTGTGTACATTTTGCCATGTTTGCCTAAAACTTCATAATATTCTCTTGTATACTTTCTTCTATTTTTACGAACACGAATGTGAGTACCTGTCGGGTTCCCATTGTTGTCATAGTCAATAGTATTTTCATATGGGTCGCGTTTAGGTATTTCTATTTTTACTTTGTCACCTTTCTGAATTTGAAGCCCGGCATTCTTTCTTGTTTGTCTCTTTTGACTAAATTATTAAATATATAGTCTTTCTCTAAGTCAGGGTTGTTTTTCATTTCTTCGGGGGAGTGGTTTCCCAAACCTTTTTGTTTACGGCTATTGTAAATATTTAAAACTTGTCTCATCTTTGCCATGGAGAAGTGTCTATATTTGTCGTCATATGACATTTCATTTGCTTCACCACCTTGTGGTTGGTTTAAGTCTCTTAACATTTTTATACAACCGTCAATGACACCAAGAGCAGAATGGTTTTGGTCGACAATGAAATATTGGTTTACATTTTTTGAACGCAGATAGTTTTTTACATCATCTGATTTGAAAGAACTTTCACAGTCAGATGTCAGTTTTGTTGGATGGTATTTGTCAACGAATATTGTCAAAGCTGCTAAGATATCTAAAATAGCTTTTGGACTGTAATGGTATGGCTTCACAGTATCTTGTGTTTTGACCGACAAATATTAGCCAGTATGGTGGTCCATCTTCTCTATACTCGGAATGTTTTCCAAGATATCCATAAACCAAGCATTTGGTGTTGAACTAAAGATTTTTTATCATGAGTGCTTTCTTTGTCGCTTTAGAAACATAGGGGTCCTTGTTTGGATTCGTCATTTTTATCCTATAAGAAATGGGTTTATTTGGCGCATTAGCAGGAGTTGCATCTAGATTTTTACCCGCAGTGGGAACAATAGCCAGAGGTGTATTTGGAGTTGGAAGGAAGATTTTGAGTACATTAGGTATACTTAAAGAGAAAGCACAACCTATTATACAAACTGTACAGAAAGGTTGGGATGTAGCACGAGATGCAACAAATCTTATTCCAAATCCTGAAACAAGAGGAAAAGTTCAAGGATGGATGGACAATGTAGGAAGACAAGCAGGAAACTATTATAACAAAGCAAATGACTACTATAACCAAGCAGGACACTATATGGACCAAGGTGAAAGATTCTTTAACAGAGGATATAACCATGCACAACAATGGGTAAACAATAACCAACCTCAACCGCCTCAAACGTGGGGAATGTAAAGTTTTTTACTGAGATGAAATGAACAATACAGCATTGAGACAAATGGGTTCAAGATGGATTTGTCGGCTTCCAGCAGTTACACAACGTGTTTGTCAAGTTCTTCCTATACCTCAGGAAGTTTTAGACCGACTTAAAAAACAACAACAACCAGTTGAAAACAAACAAACTAAAATTTTTTACTGAGATGAAATGACCGAAGAAGTTGAAACGGTAGATTTGACACCACAAACAAAAAGTTCAGAACCATTGTCAAAACCTGTCAAAGAACTTACAGATGAAGAGAAAAATTCAATAATAGAAAGTGCCAGGTCTGGAAATACAAACCCTAACTACAAAGTCACTTTTCATAAAAATGGAACGGCAAGTATCTCAAAAAAGAAACAGACTCTCACAAATAAAATATTGAAGTCTGAAGGAGCTTTCGAGACAACAGATGGAAAAGTTTACTTCACTGACCAACAGTTCATTATAGAACATCTCATTGACTTAGAGTCGAAATATTCTAAACTTTACAACAAACACAAAAAGTTGAAGGAAAACAAAAACAAATGGCATATGATATTTATGAAGATGTTGACGACACAACTGTTCCTGCAAGTGAAGTAAAGTCAGAGGAACCGAAAAGTGACAAAAAACCGATAGAAGAAGAAAAACCAAAAACTGAAGATAAACCAAAACCAAAGTTTAGTTTGGAAACTAAACCAAGTCAACCTTCATTAGCTGGTATGGGTTGGCGTCAAAGACTTATGGCAGCAGGCGGTTATGTTAAGTAAAGAAAAAAATATTTTTTTATTTTTATAAAAATGCCCCATATAGAATGGATAGAAAATCTGCTAGAATAAAAACAGAGTTGCAAAGATATGGTTGGAGAGTTTCGAAGAATTTTAAATATAGGAAGGGAAGACCCATAAAAGTCTATGACAAATTGTCTGGTCTTCGCTACGAAATGGATTTGGAAACAGCACGTGCAAATTATCCAAACAGACTAGAGAGGTTAGAAGAAGAACGTCTTATGGACATGCCTTTCGATGTTAGTGAACCTCAAGTTGAAGGACACGACGGCTTTGCCAGATTCTACTGGAAACATGACGAACAATTGCATCCTTTGAGAAGGAAAAAAGGTAGTGCAGAGGATGGTCATGCTCCCATGGAAAGAACAAGATATGCATATGAGAAGTACCGTGAAGTTAGAAGTCAAATTACATCTGGTCGAACCTTTACAGTAAACTTTGACGAAGGAAAGAACAAAGAAGGCTTCATGGGTGTACTTGCTGCAATTCAAGATGGAAATAAGAAAGGATACAATCTCAGATTGACCATAACAGATTTGGATGGTCACATTTACTATGCACATGGCAATGTCACAACAGCTGCAATGCTTCTTGACGCTTTCAAGACTACAAAGAGAGAACAAATGGTTGACTCCGACTCAGACATTTTGAATGCAATTGAAGGAATTGCAAGTGTCAAGTTCGAATGGTACCAACCTAACCCTCAAGCAGTCAGACAACATGCTGGATACTTCCCCTTCATAAATAAGTCTGACATTGACTTGACAAGGTATGGAATTTACAATTCAATTGAAACAATTGTCAACGAACCTTGCATTCTTACATGTCTCAGGAACTCTGGTCTTGTTACAGAAGAGAAGATGAAGTATCTTGAGTCATGTGTGAAGACAAGGTACATTCTCAGAGGTCAATTGGCAAAAATTGCACCGTTGGCAAATGTCAATATCCGAGTCAGCATACCTACAGCTAAAGGTTCTTCACATGACGACTATGTTGTTGAGTTCAATTTACCATGGTTGAAGATTGTAATTGTCCACAACCACTTCATGTTGAACGAAAGTCTTACAAACCCATTGTTCGGAAAAGGCAAGTGCAACATTGTCAGAGCTGTAAACATTCTTTTCGAGAAAGGTTTGTTGGAACCAATTCCAGATGACAAGCTGACAGAAACTTTTGTACCAAAAGACGAAACAAACTTTCATTGTTAGCAAGACCAAAAGTTGTTCCAGACAAAGTTCTAGTACAAAAGAAGTACACAATTCCACAAGGAGTTGGATTGTTCGGATACCAACCTGAACCAGAAGAACTTCCAATGAGGTTGCAAGAACTTCAAGATGCTATAAACAAACTTCCATTGAGACATCCAATTGACGTCAAATTGTATTGGAGAGCATCTGAGTTAGGTCAGAAGGTTTTATATGAAACAGGTTGCTTCGACGATGTTTATGAGATAACAGGAGAAGTTTCTCAGAAGATAAGAGACTCACTTGAATTTCCACAAACTGGACCAATTGGTTGCGACAAGTTCGACTCAGATGAAAAGATATACTATGTCGACCTTAACGCTGCATACATGAGGTTTGTCCAATATATTCCGACTGGAATTCCAAACGAAGATGGTGAGTTCCCGGGAAGGAACTATACAGTTGGAAAAGTCATACAACAACTGTATGATATTAGGAAAGCTTCAAACCCCAAACTTGCAATGACACTCAAATTGCTTATGAATTCGACATGGGGATATTCCATTAAGAAACCTCAAGAGATGAAGAGTAAACATTATGAGAAGGTCGACAACTTTGTTGAAAGGTTTTCTCCTTTTGTTTTGAAGTACGAATTCACTCAAGGTCAAAGTGGCTTAGTAACCACATTAAAACCTATTGTCGAACATTGGTCTTACCCTCAGTTCGCAAAGGCAGTCCTTGACAACTACAACAAATTCTTCTCCGAAGTCAAATCGAAAGTTGTGGTTTACTATGAGAACATTGACGCACTCATGACGAACGAAGAAGGATACAACAAACTCATTGAAATGGGAATGGTTGGTGAAAAGATGGGCTGTTTTAAGCTAGATAAGGTATTTTCCGAAGTTCATGTAATATCGAAAAGGAAATATTGGGGTATACTTGAAGACGGCACAGAAATAAAACATTGCATGAAGTAAAAATTTATTTTTTAAAAAGTGACATTTTTTTAATTTTATTTGAAATGTACGCTGAGTTTGTTGGAGAAGACCGTTGGGAAACTTGTTTGTTAGATGAGAAATATGAAATGGCATACCATTTTAAAACAATATATTTTTACATATATTAAATGCTTCAGGTTGAAAAACAAAGAACAAAAGTAGCAGATACAAAACCGTTAGACTATATCTTTACAAATGCTGGTAGGACTATTTCAGATGAAGAAATTTCATCCCGAGTATACAGGTTTGACTATCCAATTCGTTGGCTTCAAAGTCCTTCAGATGCAAAGGCAATAGGATTTAGAAGAGTTTTGTTTTCAAATAGAACTAACGCATTTATGTTCGCAGTATATTTTCATGGGCAGTATAAAGGTTCTGATGGTCTAATAGACAAATTTGACGAAATGAGAATCTTTACAGTTCGTTCAGACGAAAGTCTTGAGAAAACTCTAAATGACTTTCAAACTCAAATGAACAAATATTATTGGGAATTTCAAGAAAAATACGACTCTTTACTAAATGGAACATACTATCTGAAACTAGAATATGACAAGATGAACTCCACCGTTTCATTTCAAAAGATTGAAATTAACCCTCCAAGAGATACAGAGTTTTTATTTTGGAAAGTAGACAAACGTTCTTGGGCACAATTTCTTCGGTTACTAAACCAGAACGAACCATTACCACCAGATGGTCCATTTCAATTTATACTTCCACCAGCAGATTTGACAGTTTATAGAAACGTGTTTGACCCTCAAAATGTTATGTGTCATGCAAGTTTCAGTTCAAGCAACAATAGTTTTCTATGTATTGGTAAGGACTTTTATGACTTTGCTTCTAAATTCTACGAACCACCTAGTAACAGTTTCTCTGACTTTCAAGTTTGGTTCACAACAAATGGTGTGCAACATATTATTCCATTGTACTATGACTTTTATCTCGAATTGTCTTTCATATATAACTACGGAAAAGTGCTGAAAAAGTATTGAAAAATAATGTTTATGTTAGCATGTTAGATCTAACACGTTTTCTAACATCGTAGAAAACTCATGAAAACAATTTATTTTTGACACTTTCACAAAAAACATAAAAAAGTGCAGTTAAACGTTAAGGTTTACTGAACTGGTTGGATGTCGCCTTCACAGGTTATGTAGAATGGTTGACCCGAGAAGTGGAACAGTGCTCTGAGAATTTGTATAATTCGTGGAATTGGACTCTCTCTGTTTGGAAGTAGTATCCAAGGACGTTTGTTTAGGAACTTAACACGAGCTTCCTTCTTTGCTTGCTTTATGTCGTCGTAGGCTGTCCCGTCTGGTATTTGAATTGGAATTTCAGTCGAAGTCTCGAGATTCAAGACAGCCCTTCCAGAAATAGTGGTGAACTTGACCTTGGGCTTCATGACCTTGCGCAAGTAGTCTTTTACGCAGTCGTTTATTTAAATTAGGTAAACTGCCTCGTCAAATCCTTCTGGCATTCCGAGTCCTTCCATCCGACAGAAAAAGTCCTTCCTTCCAACAGGAAAAGTTTTTCCTTCCGACAGAAAAAATTTTTCCTTCCGACAGAAAAAATTTTTCCTTAAGACAGAAAAAATTTTTCCAGTTGTCCGTCCGTAAACCATTCAAATTTTCGAAAATTGAGAACTTTTTGGTCGAACTTCAGAAAAAGTTTTTCCTTCCAACAGAAAAAGTTTTTCCTTCCGACAGAAAAAGTTTTTCCTTCCAACAGGAAAAGTTTTTCCTTCCAACAGGAAAAGTTCTTCCTTCTGACAGGACACAAACGAATGTCCCACGTCCCACCAACCCAGTCCATTCCCAAACCAGATGAACCTAAAGAACCACAACAGTCTCCTCAGCAAGCTCAGTTCCAGCAAGTACCTCCACCAAATTACTACCAATTTCCACCACAAGGCTTCCCGAACTACCCTCCTCTGCCTATGCCTTACTTCCCCAACCCTTGGATGTTCCAGCAAGCTCCACCCCAGCAATTCCAATCTCAATCCCAATCGAAGAGAGACCAAGAGTTCGAAGAAGGTCTGAACCGCTTACGCAAAGATTATGCTACAGCTCCAATTGAGAGAAAGTTGTTCCCGGACCAAAAATATAATTTATGTTAGAATGTTAGATCTAACACGTTTTCTAACCTCTTGAATTTTCATAAATTTCCTTAAGATAGAAAAAATAAAGTTAGTTTTATTTTGTATTTTTTTGTATGTAAGATATGATTTCAGGGATTTTTTTGACGAAGTGTCAATGTTCACTTCGTCAAAAAATAACAGTTATCTAATGAAAAAGTTAGTTTTATTTTGTATTTGACGAGAATGTCGGGTAAATGTTTTGTCATGAATTTCCTTAAGACAGAAAAAATAAAGTTAGTTTTATTTTGTATTTTTTTGTATGTAAGATATGATTTCAGGGATTTTTTTGACGAAGTGTCAATGTTCACTTCGTCAAAAAATAACAGTTATCTAATGAAAAAGTTAGTTTTATTTTGTATTTGACGAGAATGTCGGGTAAATGTTTTGTCATGAATTTCCTTAAGACAGAAAAAATAAAGTTAGTTTTATTTTGTATTTTTTTGTATGTAAGATATGATTTCAGGGATTTTTTTGACGAAGTGTCAATGTTCACTTCGTCAAAAAATAACAGTTATCTAATGAAAAAGTTAGTTTTATTTTTTTATTTTGTATGTAAAGATATGATTTCAGGGATTTTTTTGACGAAGTGTCAATGTTCACTTCGTCAAAAAATAACAGTTATCTAATGAAAAAGTTAGTTTTATTTTGTATTTGACGAGAATGTCGGGTAAATGTTTTGTCATGATTTCATCGTAAATGTTTTGTCAAGACTTCTTCATCGTAATGAGCGTATATGTTTTGTCATGACTTCTTCGTAAATGTTTTGTCAAGACTTCTTCGTAATGAGTGTAAAGGACCCAAAAATAAAGTTTATGTTAGAATGTTAGATCTAACCTGTCTTCTAACACGTTTTCTAACATGGTCTAAAACTCTCGAAAATCATGAATTTTCCCGAAATAAAAAATAAAGTTAGTTTTATTTTTTTTATTTTTTTTATTTTGTATAAAAAAATAAAAATGTCAACAATCGGCACAACAACAATTCAAACAACAGCACCAAACTCTTTAGTCATGAATCCTACGTCAATGTTAGTAGAAATGAAAAGCTTCATTCCTTCTTCATATACTTTTGAAACAGAAATCCAGAAGATAAAGCAAGAACTTTTAACATGTAATTTAGACTGTAGTGCGAAAGATGAAACAAATGAACAGTATCTTTATGAAATGGAGGACATTATTGACCATTTGCCTAAACTACCTGAAATTCAGCAACAAAAGCTCACTATTCCTGAATTCGATGAAATAGAAGTCAAAGCAACTGACTCAGTAGAAATAAAGAAGTTCATACGAAAGGTAAACTATGAGTTTCTAGGATTTCATTGCAACCATAAGGTTATGGACAAAGATTGCGACATGGTATATAAGAACATCTCTGACATATATAAATCGGGGGAGTTTAAGACCTACGACAACTTTGTTTCGTTAGTTGCTGAATGTGTATGGCAGATAAGAGATGAAGATAGAAGAGGTAAAGTATGGAACAAACAAATAAGACCCGCTATGTTTGAGATGAAGAGAGCAATTGACGCTTTAGTTGTTTTAGCTGGTAAGGTTTCAGAATATAACGCAAAAATGAACCCGCAATGTTCTAAATGTAAAGCAGCAATGAGGAGATATAACTACTCCGTCAAAGAGATAGAAAGAATGAGAAACGACTATGCAGACTTAAAGAAAGAAGCAGAAAAACCAGCAGAAGATAAAATGGACATGTTAGCATTTCTGAACAAAAACTATCCAACAGCAGAAGATTTCCTTCTATCTGACGTCAAGAAGAAATATAAAGAAACCTTCGGCATTGTTAAAACATTCGATGTACTAAAAGAAGAAATAGAAGCTACAAAACTGTTTAAAGTCATGAACCATCGCAACATATACCATGTAAAACGCTTGTAAATAGTTATGTTAGGAAACGTGTTAGAAAACATGTTAGATCTAACATTCTAACATAAAATATATTTTTGGTCATTTACAATGAAGTCTTGACAAAACATTTAAGTTCGATGAAGTCTTGAAAATTCATGAGTTTTGTGTGTTTTAGACCATGTTAGGAAACGTGTTAGAAAACATGTTAGATCTAACATTCTAACATAAAATATATTTTTGCTGAATTCCGTATGAAAACCGAGAGAAGAACAGCGAGTAGGTAAGAAACCTTAGTCGCCAAAACTCTATGAAAACAGTGAAGAACAGCGAGACCGACTTTTATCTAGGTCGCCAAAACTCTATGAAAATCATGAGTTTCCTTAAGACAGAAAAAATAAAGTTAGTTTTATTTTTATTTATTTTTTTATTTTGTATGTAAGGACAGATATGTCAACATCAGAGAACACAACAACTGCTATCGTTCATGAAGCCATAAATGAAGAATACGAGTGGGTTCAGTTTAACAAACAACTCCGTCTCATTCGTTCGGTCAAAGACGATATGTACCAGATGCAAAGTATTTTGACAGCATGTTTTGCTCCAGATACTAAACACGCAGACGACTGGTTCAAAAACCAAAGCACACAAGAACTTTTGAGTGAAATTTCTCTAGACCGACTTTTTTCGGCCATGCATAAAACACATGAAAATCGTAAAAATTTGCCAATAAATTTAAGAGGATATTATGTACATAGACTTTTAGTAAATGCAGTTGCAATGTGGGCTTCTCCTCGTTATGCATGGCATGTTTACAGACTTCTTGACGAAATTCATAGACAAGAACGTGAAGAGATGGAAAAGAAACTTCAAGCAAAAGATGAAGTCATTGAAGCAAAAGACAAAAGCATTCAGAAAAGAATACCACGTTCGGTACCAAAAGGAAAGGAAAAGAACTATAAGTATATGATTTATACTGAAGAGATGGAAAATGAAGAAGATAAAGATATGGTTATGTTGCATTTAGTCAGAAGAAACAACAAAAGCTTTTACGACCTTGCTAAGATTTACAAATCTGACAGAAATTGGTTCTATCGCGAAAACTTACCGATTTCAATGACACCGAATGAAGATGTGAAACAAATAGTTCAAGATACGTTACCTCAAACACACTATGATATGAAAGGTTGTACAATACTTACCTTCAAAGAAGACTTACCGCTACTGAAGGAAAAAATAACAGAGTATTTTGACAACTTCAAACAAGCAGAGTAAATGAACCATTTATTTTTCAAGCTTGACTTTTTACAATTTGAACTTTGTTTGCGTAGATATGAATTCTGAAAGAAGTATGAGGGTCTTGTATGACTTTGTACTTCTCCCATAGTTCATATCTGTCAAACTTACCTGCCATGGACTCTTTCATAAGTTCCATGAAATCGTCTTCGGACAATCCGGGGAAAAGTATAATGTCAGTAAGTATTCTTTTAACATCCTTACTTAAACTCTTTGCTGTCTGTACACAAATGACAACTGAGATGTTAAAGTGTCTGAGCTTCTTAAGAATTCGACACATATCTTGTTCTCTATTCTTTAACAAAGGATGAGAAGCAAAGTCATCTAAGATAAGAAGACATCTATGAGGGTAAGTCTTCCAATCGTAAGATTGCAATTTCTTCGAAATGTATTCTATCTCTTTCTGTTTGTTTCTGAAGTGTTTCTTCTCTAATATTCTCTGCATTTCCTCATTTGGGTCTTTGAACTTAGAATTTATATACTCATTTATAGCATTATACTTCAAAACTCTTCTTTGGTACTTCTTTATCCAATCTAACAACTCAGTATCCTTTATACATACTAACTTAGACTTCTTTATAATATCTTTGAACGAATTGACGGTTTGGTCAAATTGACCAGAAGTACTACAAATGACAACTAACTCATAGAATGGGTTCTTCTCATCTAGTTCTTGTTGTTGTGCAGCCATTTTAAGATAAGTGAAAGTCTTACCCGACCCAGGTGGTGCAATTAGACCTGTATATACCATTCTGAGCAAATAAGAACTTGTCATGTATAGGCTTTATCTGAGCATTTTCTAACTTCCTCTTGTTCTTGTTTAAAACATTCTCAAATTTTTTGTCAATGTCAGCAAACTTTTTTTCTAACATATTTTTAGAAAAATTAAAATTTTTATCTTTTAGAAAATGTCTAGCGATTTCGCTATCTATATTCGAGACAAGCTTTTCGACAGCAAAACATCTGTCGACCATAAAATCTTACATAGTGTAAACAAGAAAGGTGAATTTGTTCTAAAGTTCTGTTTCTGGGAATATGACAAGAACCATAAAACATTAAGCAGAGAAGTCTTAAAATTTGTCAATGACAGACTTGTTGACAGAGATGACGCCGATTGGAAAGATGAAGTCCAACAAAAGTTCTTAGAATGCAAAGAAGACACATGCGCTGTTCTTGAAGATGAAATAGAAAACAGAATAGAAGAGCTATTAAAGGACAAAGAACTTTTACATAAATATAGTTGCGCCAAATTTGACATAACTCCACCAGAAAAGAAGAAGAAAGAAAAGAAAGAAAAGAAAGTAGAAGAAGAGAAGAAAGAACCTGAACCAGTTCCAGAGAAAAAGAAATTTGACATGTAAAAATAAAATTTTATTTTTAGAACATTTCTGGGTCAATGTCAATGTTCTCTTCCTCTTTAGGAGTAAACACTGGCTTAGACTCTAAAATCTTTTTACCCAATTTACCTTGAACTTCTACAACTTTAGACTCATAATATTCATAGTCGTCTGCTTTCTTTGGTTCATAAGGTATAACAAGTTTGTATGCTTTGCCTTCTTTAAGGTTTGAAAACCTTCTGTCAAAACTTTCTTTGACTGCTAACAAACCTTCTATGTCTAAGTCTTCAAATTTCGCACCATTTTTAGTCACAATAGCAAACTTAACTGGTTCGATGTTCCAAACTTTGCTGAATGAAGACTTTTCAAAATGGTAGAAGTAAACATTCAAATATGTGAATGGGTCTAGTTCTTCTTTAAGTCCTGACATGTACTTGTTTACTGAGATGAATTTTGCCATCTTTTCTATCGGATAAAAAAATATTTTTTTTAAAATTTACTCATAAAAATTTTTCTTTGTATATACACCATTCTGTACGTCTAAAAGACTTTTGACATTTGCCAAGAATGTTCGTTTAGACGCTGTCATATAACCATATTCTTGACAATATTGTTTATACGAATCGTACAATGACCTTTCATCTAAACACTCAAAGTCAGTTTCATCTATGAACAGTTCATATACACTCTTGTTTGCTTCTAACAATGTTTGTCTCTCTTCGGTATGTGGAATTTGTCTTGGATTGAACTTTGAAATATCTAATGTCATAAAGTATGAGAACAAATGGTTGTAAAAGTCAGATGTCAAAGTTTCTGCTAAGTCGTCAAAATATTCTGTATCTTGCATATGAGAATCTGACGTTCTGACAACTACATATCTTCTGTCAGAACTTTCTAACTTCATCGGAACAGCATTGTTTGAAACCATAATGAAGTTTGCAACATTTTCACAAACTCTTTGGTCTTTATACTTTCTTTCAACAACTCCAACTTTGTCTGTTATAAGACTCTTCAAAGCATCTGAGTTCAAAACTTTTGTTGTATCTATACTTTGAAGTTCGTTACATACTATAAGTTTCATATTCTCAATTGAAGAGTTAAATTTACCGCAGATGTTTTCTAAGTTTGTCATATTCGGGTTCGAATAACCTTCTAACAGTTTGCATAAGATATCTGTAAAGAATGTGTTCTTACCTGTTCCTTGTTTTCCAATTATAATGAGAGCAGTTTCATTTTTAGCACTTGGATGTTGTAAGATGTTTGCAAACCAACATAAGATATACTCATAGACTCTTTCGTTTCCATTGCATATAATTTCTTTGACATGGTCTAACCAAGCTTCTATAATATTTTCTTTCCATTCTACTTGTTCGTATTTATATCCAGTGAAGATAGAATAGAAGTTTGGAGAAGGTGTATAGAACTTTATACCTCGAACTGAAAAATCTTCTAACTTTGACAATAAGATATCCCAAGCATCTAACATCTTCATGCCAACTTGTACGACTTTTATTTTCTTAAGTTTCTGTCTACATTCTTGTTCTGAAACTATTGTCGCTTTAGGTTTGTTAAAGACTACATCCCATTCTTTCATAACATAACATTCTGGGGCAGAGTCGACATAAATGACTAAACGTTTCAAATTCTCGACTGCTTTGTTATAGTCTCGAAATGGACACATATTTCTGAATGCTTGGAAGTCATAAAAATCTGAAACATCTATTCTGTACATTTTTATAAAAATAAAAAAAATATTTTTTTTATTCTTGACTTTGTTGTTGCATTTGTTGCATTTGTTGTTCTTGAGCTATTTGTTGTTGAAGTTGTTCTTGTAATACAATACTTTCACCAGTTGCATCTTCCAATTCGAAACTTTCTGCCGTCATTGACAAATACATAGGACATAAAAGTTTTACAGGAACAAAGTTTGCGTCAACTAATGTCAACGTTATACTTGCCAAAGTGTTTGAGTTCACTAAGGTTGAAAATTCTGCATTCGAATGAACAATAGGCAAACCAGCAGAGAAAGTATTGTTTATACGCATAAGTATCTTTTGGTCATAATAGTTTCTGTCGACATTCGAATAACACTTTGAACCTAAGTTTGAAACAATATATAAGATTGGTGTGCTTAATGTCAATGGAATAGACATTCCTTGTATGACACCTTTTCCTGTTATAGGAAACTGTTGGTAGTAAAAACCAGAAATAAGTTTTGTATTATAGCTCATATCGTTTATAGTAAACTCAGTCGGACATCCAAACATAATGAAACCTGCTCTAGTTGCAGCACATGTTACACCCGTCCTTAAAGTATTAAATAAGTCAACAAAACCTGTTGGTGGTATATCTGAGTAAGTATCTTCAAAGGAGTATTTTTTACCATTCACAACAATAAAGTCTTCTGGTGTCAAAAGAGCAAAACAGGCTTTAGTCGTCATTGTGTTTAAAGTTAGTTTACAATACCGTCCTTGAGGACTTTGTAAGTTTGTTGTTATAGAATTATATGACTCAGGGTTTTTAGTCGTAATAGTATAAACCATTATATCTTCTGCCATTTACTTAGCAAATAAATTTTAATGAAATGTTGTGGTCGTCAAATATTTTTATGACGTCTGGGAAACTATACTTTAAGTTCAACGTTTCACCTCCTTTCATAACGTATATCTTGTCAATGACATTATATGAAACACCACAGCAACTAATGTCGGGTTCTATTTCTTTGATGTTTATATCGTCTGCCTCTGTCAAAAGTTTCAATAGTTCTTTCAAGACTTCATGAGGTGCAATGACATATGAGTTCACTTTTACAGGGTTGTGTTCGACCAAGTTTAACATTATACCTAAAGCTTGACAAATCTTCTCCTGAGTTTGAAGTTTGTCTTTCAGTTGTTGTAGTCGTTTCGAATATCTGCAACAGAACTTAAGTCTCTGCTAACTTCAGGATATGTTGGTTCTTTTACAGGAACAATTGTTATACCATCTTTGTCTTCGTATGGTTTCCCCACTTCAACATCTCTGTCTTTGACATTGACAATAACACTTTGACTGTTTGTTTGAGTTGGTGAATTTAACTTCACATCTGCCACCGCCATTAAACCTTTTGAAACACTCACGCTTCTATTTTTCGGAAATGACATTTTACTTAGAATAAAAAGATGGACGTATTCGAGTATCTCTTCGAATTGAAGCAGAACAAAGTTTACACACACAAACAATACAAATACATTGACAGAATAGTTCTTTATACAAACAATGGTAAATGTTATAGAATAGCAATATTTGCTGAACCAAAATATTTCCATAAAGCAAAGAAAGTTGGTATAACTGAAATGGTGAAAGTTCTTGACGTTGACAAAAATATAACAACAAAACTTACAGATATTTCTAAAGGAAAGTTTATCTTACAATATTATGTCAAAACTGGCTACTGTCAATATTTGACGGAGAGAAGTCAGTTCAAGAACAACTTACTGACCTGCTGCCAAAATCTGCTCGATGGAAGCTGTCGTTATGCCAATCTGAGGAGCCCCAGCAGGTTTCATCGAACGAATCTCAAAAGAGCATCTTCCGTGAAAAGTGCTATTGGTTTTGTAAACTTCTTTGCTCTCAGTTCATCTGGACCGTCTCTGTCACCAGTATATATTGTATTTGTACAGTACCAACAGTTGAAATACCACCCATAAAGTCTTCTGAGTCAGCAAATGGAATGCCGAGCCAAAAGTTTGAACGGTCTCCATTTGTATATTGAGTTTTTTGACCTCCTGTATGAGTCCATACTTTCACATATGGCATAATAGAACTTTGCATTTCAGGGTTAATGGTTGTTGTGAAGTTGTTTGTTAAAGTTCATAGCATCTAATGTCAAGTTGTATGACCTCATATCCTCAACTGTAGAATATTCTTCTCTTGGATAATATTTGCCATCTATGTTTATATGATATTTAATACCGGGGTTGTAGAAACAAGAATAGTCATTTATAGTTCGTCTGAACAGTACAAACATAGTATCTGCATGTTTCATTGCAGTTGTTAAAGCAATATCTGTTCTTGCACCTGGGTCAGCACTTTGGTTTCCAACTTCACCTGCAAAGTCTTTGACAGATATTTGGTGTATAGGGAACATAAGTGGAACTGCAATATATTTGGCAGCTAAAGCATTTGAAATATCTGGGTCCAACATATAGACTGCAAGTCTGCTTTCTATTCTCTTGCATTCAAATTTTTCGCATGTGAACTTAACTGGGTCCCAAGCAGTTCCAGCAGCATTGAAATAATAGTTTACTTCATTGTTGAAGTTTGAGAAACCAAAGTCTAAGTCAACTTTGTCTTTGCAAAATTCGGCGAATGACGTTTGATTTGTTCCCTTTACGTCTGTAATAGTGAATGGGTCTTGTGTTGGTGCAATGACTAAGTTATTTTTGCTTGGAGTAAGTTCGATAGAAATTTTTCCTGCCCAGTTTGGCAAGTATCTTAAAAAACCTGAAGATGAGGAAAGATGACAAAGGAACTCTAAGTTTCAGTTTTTACTTTGGTTACTGCTGCTGCAGTTTGTCCAGAAAGGTTAACATAAACTCCTGGAACGTTAGGGTCAAGTCTTCTTATTTTCTCAATATTTGCATACTGGTCTGTTTGTTCTCTAGCTTGTGGTTGTACTGAGTTTCTCAAAGCGAACCATTCATAGTTTGCCCATGTTACTGTTTGAACTAAGTCAGAGTTAGAATATATCTTATATCCCATGAAAACTTCTGGAGCATATTGGTATCCGACATAGAAAATTCCATTGCAACCTTTCTTGTCAGACAACTTGGCAGAAGGTTTTATTTCAATGTCTTGTTCCACGTATAAGAATGAGTTGTCAATAGAAATAATATGAAACCTGTCGCAAGCAATATCTACTGTTGTTGAAGAACCTTCTCCAAACTCACCTACGTTTCCATAAGAAACAGCAGTTGTATATTCGTAAGTTCCAGGAACTATTTCTGACCTTCTAATGGCATTGTCGCATTCGTTATACCATTCGGAAACATTTCCGTTCATGGCATCCAAAACTGTTGGCGTTATATTCTGAGCGGCGTACATTTCATATGGGTAAAAATATAGAATAGTTGGATTTATATATCATAAAAGAACCCACTCGGACCAAGCTTTACTTTCTTCCTGACTGAGTTTTTAACTCTTCTTTTTCCTTCATTGCCACTACTTTCACTAGATGAAGTTACTTCTTCACTACTTTCACTTTGTTCTACTCTTCTTCTTTGGTGTCGCTTTTGGTAACTTGCCCTCTGCTTCAAGTTGTTGCATCTTTGCCTCATGTTCACCTAGTATGTTGTAAATTTCCCATGTCCTTTTTGCCTTTGGGCTCTGGTCGCCCATCTCAGGTAACCTATATCCTAGAAAGATTTTGTCATAGTTTGTATTTGAGTCGTCGCTTATTGTTTGCATGACTCTTTCCTGAGTTTCCGGTTCAAGCTCTTCAAATATAGCTTGTCCATATGGAATATGCTCGTTTCCAAATATATGTTTTTGTAGCCATTCTGGTTTTCTTTCCATGTTACCAATAATATCTTTTGTGAATGGGAAAGCTTTTACCCAATGTTTCAGTCTTGCGTCATTTATTTCTGTAGTTGGTTTTATTTTGTCAAGGAACATGTTTTTCAATACTAACATTTCATTTGGTACTGTCCATTTGAGTTTTCTTAAATATTCATCCCTTCTCAGTTCATTGTCTGCAAAGTAAGTTTTTATGACATTTTGTAAACTTTCGTTTGCAAGGTCATGTACAATAGGTTCTCTTCCTTCTCTCTCCCTAACTTTCTTTCTAAACTCTTCACCAAATATACCATCTCTATGGTTCTGTGTAGTTCTTTGAGATAAATGTTCTAGAACGTCAGGTGTTATATTTCCATCAGCCATGTTCATTTCATACTGGTCCAAAATATCTGCATGTTTCATATCTTTCAATGGCATTAAAGCCGCGCTGAAAATACCAGCTATATCTGGTTCACCATTCACTTCCATTGCGTCTACAACTTCTTGGAATTGTGGTTGTAAGTTTATGAACCACCTATCCGGATTAGCTTTATGACCCCATCTCATTGTAGTTCCATAGTCTGCAGAAACAAAAGTAGGTTTGTTTCCATATTGGTTAGGTTCTGAATGAACTTTAAACAATGTTTCATTTCTATATGTTTTGTTGAAATTTAACCTTTTATTTTCACCGAGTTCAGCCAAAGATTGAACGTTATATGGTCGTAAGTAAAAAGGATTGTTGTATTTGCGTACATTTTCTTTCAGTTCTTCCATTCTATGCTGAATATTTTCATCTGATGTTGGAGTCTTTTGTATGTCGGCGAACATTTTTCGATATTCTTCTACTATGTCAGCTGAATTTTTCTTAGACTCTTGGAAAGATTCCATATTCTCCGCATACTCTTGTTGAGGGTCAAGATTTTTCGGCTGTTCCAAATCTTCATCTAGTTCTGTGAAGTTAGTTTCCAAAGGAGGGACTTGTTCGTTTCCTTCAGGCTCTTCTAGCTGTTGTTGCTGAACTATTTCTTCCATGTCTGGTTGTATCTGAACTTCTTCCTGTGGAGTTTCTTGTACCTCATCTGCTGGCATTTCATATATTCCGAGACCGTTTTTAACAAGTTCCCTATTTAAGCCATCCGCATTCATAACCCTTTCTTCTTTCGTTCTGTTGTAAACAGAAATTCATCAAAAGTGACACCTCAGAAAAGCTAAAATATTGAATTTTTGGAACTTTTGATAGAGCACGTTTTTAAATATTAATTAAAGTAAATGTATATTTTGTAAAGATTCTTTTTAATAAAAAAGTAAAATTTTGAAGAAGAACACAAAATCTTCTGAAAAATAATATCACATAAACTCATATTATTTTCTAATATATAACTATTTTATATAAAAATCAAATTCAATGATCTTAAAAGCGAAGGATAAACCTCAAAATTTACGAATATAATGAGTGGGAATATAATGCTTATCTATCATAAAACCATATGAAATATCAATTTTTGCTTTACGCCTATTCCCACTCATTATATTCGTAAATTTTGAGGTTTATCCTTCGCTTTTAAGATCATTGAATTTGATTTTTATATCAAATAGTTATATATTAGAAAATAATATGAGTTTATGTGATATTATTTTTCAGAAGATTTCATTCTATATGCCTATGAAAAGTACTCTCAAAACTAACTTTTTCCTAATTATAATTAAATCTAGAATATTGTATTATGCTTAGTATTATTTCATTCATCAAAATTGAGAGCTGTCACTTTTGATGAATTTCTGTTTATTACAGTTCCGTCTCTATTTTTTACGCGTTTCATGAAGATAGTTGAATTATCATTTATCTCTGACACCAAATATCTCGGAGTAAATTCATCCATGTCATTTGGATGATATGCTATTAAATCATATCCCTTAGCGAGCTTGTATTTTCCAGGTTTGAAATTATATCCCATTTGGTGCTGAACCATAAAGCTAAATAGGTTCGGGTCAGTATTTCCTTCCTTGAACTTTCTAATAGCTTCTTTATATCTGTCACTAAAGTCAAGAGTATCTGGGTAACCATAATTTTCCTTAAGCATTTTTAAGAATTCTTGGTTTCCTTGTTCTCTACTTCTTTTATGTCCTTGCTCTGTTTGTGGTTGTTGCTGTGCAGTGTTTTGAACTGTTGGTTGTGGTGCAGTGTTTTGAACTGTTGGTTGTGGTGCGGTGTTTTGAACTGTTGGTTGTGGTGCAGTGTTTTGAACTGTTGGTTGTGGTGCTGGATTTTGAACTGTTGGTTGTTGTGTTGGTTTTGGTGCATGCCTGTGTCTGTGTCCATGTGACGATGTAAATGTTTTAGGTAGTCCTGGTGCAGGTGCTTCTCTTGGAGGGTTTGGTGGTATCTAAGTTCCACCAGCTGGCACATATGTTCCATCTGCAGCATAATGTCCTACCTGACTTTTCGTTTTTAAGAAAGCATTTACTAGGTCTGTTTTGGTCTGTTGTAACTCTTTTTCTTGACTTTCCACAACAGTTGCTCTAACGGCGTCATAGGCACTTTGAACTGCCTGTCTCGTTGCTGCATCTGTTATTTTCGTCATATTTTGTGCTACTTCTCTTAACTCTTTGTCGAAACCTTCAGACTTCAGTTTCTTTCCAGATGAGAAGTCGTTCACTAGTTTCACCTTACTATGAAGAGCTTCGAAGGCGTTCTTAAAGTCAGCATTCATTAAAGCTTCATTTGAACTGTCTTCATCCGCTTGTATTTTTGTCCTTATTGACCCTATAAGTTGGGCTGCTTTAGCGTTGGCTTGGGCATCTAACCAGTCATTATTAGCTTTTATATATTCTGCGCTTTTCATTGCCTTTTGCATGGCTGCGTCGTTATTTTTACTTTCTTGTGCTAAGTTTTCATACTGTACGGTTTGGTTTTGCAACTGTAAAAGTTTTTCTGCCTTTACATTTGCTTCAACTTCTTTTTTATACTCATCGCTATCCATATATGTCTTCAGAGCTTTTTGTTTTATTTCTTCATCTTTCAGTACTTTATATTGAGTAGTATGGTTTTTCAAATTTATAACATCTTGTTCCATTTTTGCTACTTCTGCTGCTTTTTCTGACACTTTTTTCGCATATTCCTCTGTACTTAGTTCTTTCAGTTGTTCTTCTTTCTTCTTTTTCTCTACGTTTAACTCATTGAGTTTCTTTGTGTGTCTGTCATATTCTAGTTTCTTTTCGTTTTCACTTATTTGTTTCTGTATGTCTATGTTTGACTTTTTGACATCTGTTATTTGATTTTTGAGTGAACTCAAATTCATTTGACTTTGAGGGTTATAAGCTGTTCCGTCTGCAGCTCCACCATAGCCTGCCATTTTCGCTAAAAGTGCCGCTCTTAAACCTCCACTCTGTGCACCAATAACTCGGTTTAAAAGCATAGGGTTGCTTGACATTTGTTGCAACATAGTGGGGTCATTCATCATTTGTTGTTGCAACTGTTGTTGTGGTGTCAGTTTTACTATTGGATGTTTCAATGCTCCCTTCCTCTTACGTATATTCTTACGTAGCTTACGTGGCATTTTAAGTGAAGTTAAAAAGCGGTTTTTGACAGATGTTTATATGACACTTTTTGTTCAGCACAAAAAACTACTCGGTCAAAGTGTTGTCAGTTTTGTAAAATAACCGTCCTATCTCATTCTATAAGGGAGAAAAGGCTTCTCAAAGTATACTTCCGTGGAACGCCTGTAACTTTTCCTGTAGCGACGATAGACCCTTACTTGTCCGGACAAAGTTATACTAAACATCTTCAGGGCTAGAGGGCACGAAGTGCCTGGAGGCCCCACTCCCTTTTTTTTTTAATCGATTTGAATTCATAAATAAAGAGTTTTTGAGAATCAGCTTTTTCAATGTTCAAAATATATTTATATTAATTCAAGAGGTTATTGTTTTAGAACCATATAAGCGTTTATGGAGTTGTAATAATATTTAATGTTTTTATTAATATTTATGATACTTAATATTTCATAATTGATAGCTTACTCAAAAATTTTATTAGTCGATTTCTGTTCAAAATTGAATTTATCTCTCAAATTGTTAGCTTTACAAAATTTGAAATATAATTTAACTAATCCAATTATCATTGATTCCTTCCAAATAATGAACGAGGAATTGCTAAAAGTTGATAACTTAACTATACGTAAATGCAAAATACTATTCCTTTGAGATATAAATCCGATTTTGGCCATTATTTTTCAAAAGTTGAATTAGAAGATTGTTGCATGCTAAGTTCGGTCAACGATAGAAATTGAGTGGAAATTAATCGTCGAGGAAGTACGATTATGTAAAGTAAAAAAATGTTGTGGGATTTTTAATATTATATATTATTTTATAATAAAAATTTTTTGAGTCATTTTAAGAAGCACATATAATTTTTTGAATTTAAAAATTAAAGTAGTGTCAAACGAATTTATCACTTAATTTAATACTCAGATTTCTTAAAATTAATGAAAAAAAGGTTTTCTGAGAACTTTTGAGAATGGTTTTCAAATTCCATTATTGAAAATATATAGGTATTGTATGAAATTCAAACTCTATATTTATTAAAATTCTAAATTTTTAATAAAATAACTTTTCAGAGGAATATGATTTTGAATGGTTGATTAATAAGTATAAAAATGTCTACGATTTTAAGGAGGGAATTGTTCCTTATGAGGTATACATCATAACTATATACCTCATAAGGAAAATTCCCTCTTGATAGCTGGGAAACTTTCTCTGAATAACTTATCATTTGGAGAAAGTTTCCCAGCTATCTATTAGAAACTAAAGGCTGTGAGGCACTAATATAATCAGTGCCTCATAGCCTTTAGTTTCTTATTAAAAACGAGAAAACTTGTTCGAAATGATAAACAATTTCGAACAAGTTTTCTCATTTTAAGGAGGGAATTGTTCCTTATGAGGGATACATCATAACTATATACCTCATAAGGAACAATTCCCCTTGATATCCTGGATATTTTTGAATATATTTTTTTAATTAAAGTTCTCAAAAGTATTATCAAAAGTGATTTTTAAAAATATCTCCAATTAATTAACTAATTAAAAGTATTATATTTTTAAAATTAAATAGTTTTTCAATTTTTTTGAAGGAATTGAGATACTTCCCACGACAATAAAATTGAGAGGTTTACATTATGACTGATCTTAGCATGCAACATTTTATATTCTTGAACGTAATAATGTTGCATGCTAAGATCAGTCATAATGTAAACCTCTCAATTTTATTGTCGTGGGAAGTATCTCAATTCCTTCAAAAAAATTGAAAAACTATTTAATTTTAAAAATATAATACTTTTAATTAGTTAATTAATTGGAGATATTTTTAAAAATCACTTTTGATAATACTTTTGAGAACTTTAATTAAAAAAATATATTCAAAAATATCCAGGATATCAAGGGGAATTGTTCCTTATGAGGTATATAGTTATGATGTATACCTCATAAGGAACAATTCCCTCCTTAAAATGAGAAAACTTGTTCGAAATTGTTTATCATTTCGAACAAGTTTTCTCGTTTTTAATAAGAAACTAAAGGCTATGAGGCACTGATTATATATTAGTGCCTCACAGCCTTTAGTTTCTAATAGATAGCTGGGAAACTTTCTCCAAATGATAAGTTATTCAGAGAAAGTTTCCCAGCTATCAAGAGGGAATTGTTCCTTATGAGGTATATAGTTATGATGTATACCTCATAAGGAACAATTCCCTCCTTAAAATCGTAGACATTTTTATACTTATTAATCAACCATTCAAAATCATATTCCTCTGAAAAGTTATTTTATTAAAAATTTAGAATTTTAATAAATATAGAGTTTGAATTTCATACAATACCTATATATTTTCAATAATGGAATTTGAAAACCATTCTCAAAAGTTCTCAGAAAACCTTTTTTTCATTAATTTTAAGAAATCTGAGTATTAAATTAAGTGATAAATTCGTTTGACACTACTTTAATTTTTAAATTCAAAAAATTATATGTGCTTCTTAAAATGACTCAAAAAATTTTTATTATAAAATAATATATAATATTAAAAATCCCACAACATTTTTTTACTTTACATAATCGTACTTCCTCGACGATTAATTTCCACTCAATTTCTATCGTTGACCGAACTTAGCATGCAACAAAAAAGCGATTTACCAAACAAATTTCAGATTAATCAAAATTCCGATTTTTCTTTAATAAAAAATCAAATTATTTGATGACAATTAAATTAATTCGAATATAAATAAATATTTTATTATATAAAATCTATGAAATAAAATAATGAAACAAAAAAATAATAAAAATTTCGGAAATTAATTTGCAGCAACTTTTTGCTCCGGCTTTTCTGCGACAGCCTCAGCCTTTGTCTCTACCTTTTTCTTCTTCTGGTCAGATTTTTCCAAAAATGTGGAAACCATTGAGAAAATCGCGTAAATTCCGGACAGAAGCCCTCCAGTCGAGATGAGGAATGACCTGAAGCTGCGGCTCTGCCACGTAACAGCGATTGTATACGGTGTGAAAGAATAATAGAAGTAGATTCCCGGAACTAGATGGTAAGTCATGGAGTAGAAGTAGACGTACTCGAATCCCTTCTCGATGTACTGTCCATCGGCGTAGAAAACGATCGGAGTGATAATTAAATTGTATTCTGTTGCAAGAGGCTCCCCTGTTGATTTAATATGGGTCCCGCGGAGAGGATGGGAGGTCATAGGGATGTTGGCACCAAATCGGAGGTCGATAATGTCGTGGTCGAAGGTTATTGTCTGATAATCGTCTAATAAAATGTGCTGATGGCCGTAGTCTTCAATGCTCTGGCCGATGGCAAGGTGGAAGCTGCCAGGAACTCTGTTAACACTGATTTTACCTTTTACATGGCACTTTTCGTTCGGATCAAATTTTTGTTTGTTTTCTGGCTTGCATTGAGTCCAATTTTCAGGGGTGGCTGTTTTGTTGTTAGAGTGGTAAATTTCTTTGAGCTTTTCGCAGCCGTTGCAACAGAATCTGTTATCATAAAAATCATAGCAAGAATGACATTGTTTTTTCTTGTTGTAGAGTTCCATAAATCCTTTTTCTTGATTTACCCTTCTCCATTTGAGTGTATCGTTAACTAAAAGCTGCTTATGACCAATTGAATCTAAAATGTCAAGATGTAGGACTTCGCATGGCTGATTGATAAGAAAATTTAGCGAGACATTAACTAAATCTGTTCTGAGAGAGTAAATATGATCAGTAGAAAGATCTCTGTGAATTTTTGGAGTTACCATTAAAATTATTTGAGCAAAAATAAGGAAAGTTGATAGGAAAGACATTGCCTGAGAAATGTAATACATTTTGTCTTCACTAATTATTAAATCTTGGTTCTCTATTTTATCAAAAGCATCAATTTTCTTCAGAAATTCTTTCATTTTGTTCGAATTGTCACTTTTTATTTCTTGTGAACAAAAATCTGTGTATAAGTCAAGCAAAGATTTGTTAATGCTTAATCTGATATTTGCATTCTCTTATGATCTATCTTGGTATATTATTTCATGAACAAAAAGAATTGATCTCTATTGAAAGAAATTTTTCTGTCACAAAAATGCTCAAGGAGAAAAAATATGTCATTGCATAATACTACACAATCTATATCCCGAAGTTCGGCCTCTTTTAAGGCAAATTAAATTCAAATTCAGATCAAAACCTCATTGTAATGATTGAAAAAGTCATCCAAATTACTTATTAGATCAATGACATCCTGGGCAATGAAATACAGCTTCTGATACCGATATCAATGAAATAACGAACAAAATTCAAAATCAATTATTTACATTCAAAAAAATGTCTTGCAACATTTATGAGACAACATACAATAGATTTTTTCAAAGACCAGCTACAACAACAGTCACTGGTCGCCAGATCACAACCAACACATCACGACACGAATCCGGCTTCTCTTCAAATACAAGAATGAGCCCTTTACACCTTAATCCAACATTTCCAGAAGAACCTGTTACAAGAGCACCAGTAACACGCGGATTTACTGTTTCAGAGAAAACAAGAACAAGAATGGAACAATCCGGATATTGGCATTCTGAAATCACTCATTCTGACAAGAAACAAGAAATGGATCTTGTCTCAACACACATGAAAGATTATCCTAAGTACAAATCTAATCACGAAGTTTATTGGAGTTTGAACCGCAATTTGATTGGGTCAAGAGAGCCAACACCTTATTCCAGACAACCAATCAATGTAACTCAGCAGCGCATATCACCTATGGAGTCTACATCCCACTCTTCTTATCCGAAATACCAAGGAAACTCTGGCGTTAACATTCCTTCTAACGTTCGCATGGAAAGGTGTGGTTTCTCAAATGCTGCAGTTCCACTCTCATCAAAGAGCGTTGCAATGTCAGATAGATCGATAAATGATTTGTCTCCAAGCGAGGCTTCTCATTTAAAGCACAAGGATCCAATAGAATACCAAAACATCCAGTATAATACTCCATATCTTACCACTGCTCAAATCAGTTACCAAAATCCGAACAAGATGAGGGCTTTTACAGCAACAACTGGTTTAAGAACCAACTAATTATATGTTTTGTTTTTTTTTATACAAGTATTAAATGCTTAATATTATTTTTTGCTTCTTTCCAAATTTATTTTTTATTTTCAGACAATTTCTATTGATATTCAAAAAAAAAGGTAGTGGGGCTTCCAGGCGCGTTGCGCCCTCTAGCCCTGAAGATGTTTAGTATAAATGAAGTTTTTATTCGGAGGGCTTCCAGGCGCGTTGCGCCCTCTAGCCCTGAAGATGTTTTTCCCAAGACCCAAGAGGAGGACCGAACCCCAGCCGACCAGCCGTTAACTTTTTTGTGTCGCTTTTCACAAATTATATATGTTTTCATGTTTTGTCACTTTTCAGGTAAAAACATTTTTATTATTATATATAAATGAATTTTACAAAACCACCGTTACCGTTCTTTGGAAATAAGAGTAGATGTAAAGATATTATATTGAGAGAACTTAAGAAACTACCGAATGGTCTAACATTTGTAGATTTGTTCGGTGGAAGTTTCTATATAAAAAAAAAAAAAAAAAAAAAAAGGGAGTGGGGCTTCCAGGGGCTGCGCCCCTTCTAGCCCTGATGATGTTTAGTATAAATGAAGTTTTTATTCGGAAAATTGTTAGTCTTCTGGTGTGAATTCGGAGGACTCTTCTTCTTCCTCCTCCTCTTCTTCCTCTTCTTCGTCATCGTCGGCGAGTGGAAGAGGACGTAGTTCATCCAAATTCTGTATGGACGTCCTGATTTGGATTTAAATGAGATGGACATATTTTGTGTGAGTGTTATTTCAGTTTCGATAAAGAGTTGGTGTGCTGGTTTGAATATATGTTCGACGTAGGAGAATTTGTGCAACTCATCTTCTCCCAATTCTGTATTGATACAGACTTCGATGAAGTCACCACTGAGAATGTCTTCACCTGTGGGCATATCCACAACAATTAAATGAACGACACAATAGTTGTGAAATTCATTAGTAGGAAATACTGTTGCAGGCGTATTATATGAGGGGAAAAATGTTTTTTCTTCCCCAAATTCATCTGCTACTTCATCTTCATCGTATCCGTTGTTAAAAGCTTTAAATTCATGTACAATTTGAGCAAATTGTTGACGGAGATTTGGTGGCATACGTAAGCAAGCTTGTAACAATGTCCTACCTTCCACACACTCAGCAAATATGGGAAGGTAGGAACATATAATGTCCGTCAATTGGTCCTGGTTGGGGACCAATTGACAGAGTTTTGTGTATGCCGTTATTGTTTCTTTAACGGTATTTGTGTAGATACGGTTATATGGAGTATTTCCCTGGTTGTTAAGGGAAAAATACTCATCCGATTGTAATTTCAATCTTGACCTCAACTCTTTGTTCGGTATTCTTTGGTCTATTCTTAGAGCTGTATTTGTTCGTGCGGCTGTGGTTTTAAAACATTCGAGTCAAGTTTTAATTGCTTCGAATTGGATGTCGATTTGAATTGGGAGTCTTTTGAGTTCTCCTGAGCTTGGTTCTGTATTAAAGACTGAATAGCAGTGTCAGCTTCTTGTTTTTCGAGATAGTATTCTATTGAATTGGGCTTCACTGTTCGAGACGCGTACATTATGAAAAATGAAATGTTTTTTTTCGGACTACTCATAGAAAAGTTTAAAATAAACCGTTTTCGTCAACGGAACCCCCTCTATTTTTTTATTTTATTTAATAGTTACCGTTGGAAAACCGTTCCATCTCAAATATTGAATGAACTATAAACGTTTTTTGTTTTCTATATATACTTTTTTGTCCAACGGTAAAACTTTTTACACAACGGTTTTTGAGAGTCGTCGCCGTTGACTTTTTTGTAGAGCACTCAAAATAGTATAACTTTGTCCGGACAAGTAAGGGTCTATCGTCGCTACAGGAAAAGTTACAGGCGTTCCAAGGAAGTATACTTTGAGAAGCCTTTTCCCTTATAGAATGAGATAGGACGGTTATTTTACAAAACTGACAACACTTTGACCGAGTAGTTTTTTGTGCTGAACAAAAAGTGTCATATAAACATCTGTCAAAAACCGTTTTTTACTTCACTTAAAATGCCACGTAAGCTACGTAAGAATATACGTAAGAGGAAGAGAGCATTGAAACATCCAATAGTAAAACTGACACCACAACAACAGTTGCAACAACAAATGATGAATGACCCCACTATGTTGCAACAAATGTCAAGCAACCCTATGCTTTTAAACCGAGTTATTGGTGCACAGAGTGGAGGTTTAAGAGCGGCACTTTTAGCGAAAATGGCAGGCTATGGTGGAGCTGCAGACGGAACAGCTTATAACCCTCAAAGTCAAATGAATTTGAGTTCACTCAAAAATCAAATAACAGATGTCAAAAAGTCAAACATAGACATACAGAAACAAATAAGTGAAAACGAAAAGAAACTAGAATATGACAGACACACAAAGAAACTCAATGAGTTAAACGTAGAGAAAAAGAAGAAAGAAGAACAACTGAAAGAACTAAGTACAGAGGAATATGCGAAAAAAGTGTCAGAAAAAGCAGCAGAAGTAGCAAAAATGGAACAAGATGTCATAAATTTGAAAAACCATACTACTCAATATAAAATACTGAAAGATGAAGAGATAAAACAAAAAGCCCTGAAGACATATATGGATAGCGATGAGTATAAAAAAGAAGTTGAAGCAAATGTAAAGGCAGAAAAACTTTTACAGTTGCAAAACCAAACCGTACAGTATGAAAACTTAGCACAAGAAAGTAAAAATAACGACGCGGCTATGCAAAAGGCAATGAAAAGCGCAGAATATATAAAAGCTAACAATGACTGGTTAGATGCCCAAGCCAACGCTAAAGCAGCCCAACTCATAGGGTCAATAAGGACAAAAATACAAGCGGATGAAGACAGTTCAAATGAAGCTTTAACAAATGCTGACTTTAAGAACGCCTTCGAAGCTCTTCATAGTAAGGTGAAACAAGTGAACGACTTCTCATCTGGAAAGAAACTGAAGTCTGAAGGTTTCGACAAAGAGTTAAGAGAAGTAGCACAAAATATGACGAAAATAACAGATGCAGCAACGAGACAGGCAGTTCAAAGTGCCTATGACGCCGTTAGAGCAACTGTTGTGAAAAGTCAAGAAAAAGAGTTACAACAGACCAAAACAGACCTAGTAAATGCTTTCTTAAAACGAAAAGTCAGGTAGGACATTACGCTGCAGATGGAACATATGTGCCAGCTGGTGGAACTTATATACCAGCTGGTGGAACTTATATACTAGCTAGTGGAACTTATATACCACCAAACCCTCCAAGAGAAGCACCTGCACCAGGACTACCTAAAACATTTACATCGTCACATGGACACAGACACAAGCATGCACCAAAACCAACACAACAACCAACAGTTCAAAATCCAGCACACAACAACAACAAGCAAACAAAACCACACAACAACCAACAGTTCAAAACCACACAGCAACCAACAGTTCAAAACCCTGCACAACAACAACCACAAACAGAGCAAGGACATAAAAGAAGTAGAGAACAAGGAAACCAAGAATTCTTAAAAATGCTTAAAGAAGAGTGTGGTTTCCCAGATACTGTTGACTTTAGTGACAGATATAAAGAAGCTATTGGAAAGTTCAAGGATGGAAATACTGACCCGAACCTATTTAGCTTTATGGCTCAGCACCAAAACGGATATAATCTCAAACCTGGAAAATACAAGCTCGCTAAGGGATATGATTTAATAGCATATCATCCAAATGACATGGATGAATTTACTCCGAGATATTTGATGTCAGAGCTAAATGACAATTCAACTTTCGTCATGAAACGCGTAAAAAATAGAGACGGAACGAAAGAACAAAAGCTTATGAATGCGGATGACGTAGATAGGGAAATTGTTGAAAACGGTCTCGGAATATATGAAATGCCAGCAGATGAGGTACAAGAAACTCCACAGGAAGAAGTTCAGATACAACCAGACATGGAAGAAATAGTTCAGCAACAACAGCTAGAAGAGCCTGAAGGAAACGAACAAGTCCTTCCTTTGGAAACTAACTTCACAGAACTAGATGAAGATTTGGAACAGCCGAAAAATCTTGACCCTCAACAAGAGTATGCGGAGAATATGGAATATTTCCAAGAGTCTAAAAAAAATTCGGCTGACATAGTAGAAGAATATCGAAAAATGTTTGCCGACATACAAAAGACTCCAACACCAGATGAAAATATTCAGCATAGAATGGAAGAACTGAAAAAATGTACACAAATACAACAACCCTTTTTACTTACGAGCATTTAACGTTCAATCTTCGGATGAACTCGGTGAAAAATAAAAGGTTAAATTTCAAGAAAACATATAGAAATGAAACATTGTTTAAAGTTCATTCAGAACCTAACCAAGATGGAAACAAACCTACTTTTGTTTCTGCAGACGATGGAACTACAATGAGATGGGGTCATAAAGCTAATCCGGATAGGTGGTTCATAAACTTACAACCACAATTCCAAGAAGTTGTAGACGCAATGGAAGTCAATGGTGAACCAGATATAGCTGGTATTTTCAGCGCGGCTTTAATGCCATTGAAAGATATGAAACATGCAGATATTTTGGACCAGTATGAAATGAACATGGCTGATGGAAATATAACACCTGACGTTCTAGAACATTTATCTCAAAGAACTACACAGAACCATAGAGATGGTATATTTGGTGAAGAGTTTAGAAAGAAAGTTAGGGAAGAGAAGGAAGAGAACCTATTGTACATGACCTTGCAAACGAAAGTTTACAAAATGTCATAAAAACTTACTTTGCAGACAATGAACGAGAAGGGATGAATATTTAAGAAAACTCAAATGGACAGTACCAAATGAAATGTTAGTATTGAAAAACATGTTCCTTGACAAAATAAAACCAACTACAGAAATAAACGACGCAAGACTGAAAGATTGGGTAAAAGCTTTCCCATTCACAAAAGATATAGTTGGTAACATGGAAAGAAAACCAGAATGGCTACAAAAACATATATTTGGAAACGAGCTTATTCCATATGGACAGGCACTGTTTGAAGAGCTTGAACCGGAAACTCAGGAAAGAGTCATGCAAACAATACGCGAAGACTCAAATACAGACTATGACAAACTCTTTCTAGGATATAGGTTACCTGAGATGGGCGACCAGAGCCAAAAGGCAAAAAGGACATGGGAAATTTGCAACATACTAGATGAACATAATGCAAAGATGCAACAACTTCAAGCAGAGGGCAATGAAGGAAAAAGAAGAGTTAAAAACTCAGTCAGGAAGAAAGTAAAGCTTGGTCAGTGGGTTCTATTATGACATATAAATCCAACTATTCTATATTTTTACTCATATGAAATGTACGCCGCTCAGAATATAACGCCAACAGTTTTGGATGCTATGAATGGAAATGTTTCCGAATGGTATAACGAATGCGACAATGCCATTAGAAGGTCAGAAATAGTTCCTGGAACTTACGAATATACAACTGCTGTTTCTTATGGAAACGTAGGTGAGTTTGGAGAAGGTTCTTCAACAACAGTAGATATTGCTTGCGACAGGTTTCATATATTTCTATTGACAACTCATTCTTATACGTGGAACAAGACATTGAAATAAAACCTTCTGCCAAGTTGTCTGACAAGAAAGGTTGCAATGGAATTTTCTATGTCGGAATACCAATATGCTCCAGAAGTTTTCATGGGATATAAGATATATTCTAACTCTGACTTAGTCCAACAGTAACATGGGCAAACTATGAATGTTCGCTTGAGAAACTCAGTACAACCACAGCTAGAGAACAAACAGACCAGTACGCCACCATTGAGAAAAATAAGAAGACTTGACCCTAACGTTCCAGGAGTTTATGTTAACCTTTCTGGTTCAGATGGAACTGCTGTCACTAAAGTAAAACTGAAACTTAGAGTTCCTTTGTCATCTTTCCTCATCTTCAGGTTTTTAAGATACTTGCAAACTGGGCAGGAAAAATTTCTATCGAACTTACTCAAAGCAAATAACTTAGTCATTGCACCAACACAAGACCCATTCACTCTTACAGACGTAAAGGGAACAAATCAAACGTCATTCGCCGACTTTTGCAAAGACAAAGTTGACTTAGACTTTGTTTCTCAAACCTCAGCACTGAAGTAAACTACTACTTCAATGCTGCTGGAACTGCTTGGGACCAGTTAAGTTCACACGAAAAATTTGAATGCAAGAGAATAGAAAGCAGACTTGCAGTCTATATGTGGACCCAGATATTTCAAATGCTTTAGCTGCCAATATATTGCAGTTCCACTTATGTTCCCTATACACCAAATATCTGTCAAAGACTTTGCAGGTGAAGTTGGAAACCAAAGTGCTGACCCAGGTGCAAGAACAGATATTGCCTTAACAACTGCAATGAAACATGCAGATACTATGTTTGTACTGTTCAGACGAACTATAAATGACTATTCTTGTTTCTACAACCCCGGTATTAAATATCATATAAACATAGATGGCAAATATTATCCAAGAGAAGAATATTCTACAGTTGAGGATATGAGGTCATACAACTTGACATTAGATGCTATGAACTTTAACAACAACTTCACAACAACCATTAACCCTGAAATGCAAAGTTCTATTATGCCATATGTGAAAGTATGGACTCATACAGGAGGTCAAAAACTCAATCATGGAGACCGTTCAAACTTTTGGCTTGGCATTCCATTTGCTGACTCAGAAGACTTTATGGGTGGTATTTCAACTGTTGGTACAGTTCAAATACAATATACTGGTGACAGAGACGGTCCAATGAATTGAAAGCAAAAGAAGTTTACAAAACCAATAGCACTTTTCACGGAAGATGCTCTTTGAAAATTCGTTCGATGAAACCTGCTGGGGCTCCTCAGATTGGTATAACGACAGCTTCCATCGAGCAGATTTTGGCAGCAGTCAGTAAGTTGTTCTTGAACTGACTTCTCTCCGTCAAATATTGACAGTACGCCAGTTTTGACATAGTATTGTATTATAAACTTACCTTTAGAAATATCGGTCAGTTTTGTTGTTATATTTTTGTCTGCTTCAAGAACTTTCACCATCTCGGTTATACCAACTTTCTTTGCTTTATGAAAATATTTGGTTCAGCAAAGACTGCTATTCTATAACATTTTCCATTGTTTGTATAAAGAACTATTCTATCAATGAACTTGTATTGTTTGTGTGTGTAAACTTTGTTTTGCTTCAATTCGAAGATACTCAAATACGTCCATCTTTTATATTCTAAGTAAAATGTCATTTCCGAAAAATAGAAGCGTAAGTGTTTTCAAAAGGTTTAATGGCGGTGGCAGATGTGAAGTTAAATTCACCAACTCAAACAAACAGTCAAAGTGTTGTTGTCAATGTCAAAGAAAGAGATGTTGAAGTGGGGAAACCATACGAAGACGAAGATGGTATAACAATAGTTCCTGTAAAAGAACAACCAACATATCCTGAAGTTAGCAGAGACTTAATTCTGTTGCAGATATTCGAAACGACTACCAACAACTGAAAGACAAACTTAAAACTCAGGAGAAGATTTGTCAAGCTTTAGGTATAATGTTAAACTTGGTCGAACACAACCCTGTAAAAGTGAACTCATATGTCATCGCACCTCATGAAATTTTGAAAGAACTATTGAAACTTTTGACAGAGGCAGACGATATAAACATCAAAGAAATAGAGCCTGACATTGCTTGCTGTGGTGTTTCATATAATGTCATTGACAAGATATACGTTATGAAAGGAGGTGAAACCTTGAACTTAAAATATAGTTTCCCAGACGTTATAAAAATATTTGACGACCACAACATTTCATTAAAATTTATTTGCTAAGTAAATGGCAGAAGACATAGTGGTTTATACTATTACGACTAAAAACCCTGAGTCATATAATTCTATAACAACAAACTTACAAAGTCCTCAAGGACGATATTGTAAACTGACCTTAAACACGATGACGACTAAAGCCTGTTTTGCTCTTTTGACACCAGAAGACTTTGTTGTTGTGAATGGTAAAAAATACTTCTTTGAAGATACTTACTCAGATATACCACCAACAGGTTTTGTTGACTTATTTAATACTTTAAGGACGGATGTAACATGTGCTGCAACTAGAGCAGGTTTCATTATGTTTGGATGTCCGACTGAGTTTAGTATAAACGATATGAGCTATAATACAAAACTTATATCTGGTTTTTACTACCAACAGTTCCTATAACAGGAAAAGGTGTCATACAAGGTTTGTCTGTTCCATTGACTTTAAGTACACCTATTTTATATATTGTTTCAAACTTAGGTTCAAAGTGCTATTCGAATGTCGACAGAAACTACTATGACCAAAAGATACTCATGCGTATAAACAACACTTTCTCTGCTGGTTTGCCTATTGTTCATTCGAATGCAGAGTTTTCAGCTTTAGTAAACTCAAACACTTTAGCAAACATAAACTTAACCTTAGTTGACGCAAACTTTGTTCCTGTAAAACTTTTATGTCCTATGTATTTGTCAATGACGGCAGAAAGTTTCGAATTGGAAGATGCAACTGGTGAAAGTATTGTATTACAAGAACAACTTCAACAACAAATAGCTCAAGAACAACAAATGCAACAAATGCAACAAATGGAACAAATGCAACAACAAAGTCAAGAATAAAAAAAATATTTTTTTTATTTTTATAAAAATGTACAGAATAGACGTTTCAGATTTTTATGACTTCCAAGCGTTCAGAAATATGTGTCCATTTCGAGACTATAACAAAGCAGTCGAGAATTTGAAACGTTTAGTCATTTATGTCGACTCTGCCTCTGCCCCAGAATGTTATGTTATGAAAGAATGGGATGTAGTCTTTAACAAACCAAGAGCGACAATAGTTTCAGAACAAGAATGTAGACAGAAACTTAAGAAAATAAAAGTCGTACAAGTTGGTATGAAGATGTTAGATGCTTGGAATCTTATTGTCAAAGTTAGAAGATTTTTCAGTTCGTGGTATAAAGTTCTATAACACCATCTCCAAACTTCTATTCTATCTTCACTGGATATAAATACGAACAAGTAGAATGGAAAGAAAAATGTTATAGAAGCTTGGTTAGACCATGTCAAAGAAAATTATATGCAATGGAACGAAAGAGTCTATGAGTATATCTTATGTTGGTTTGCAAACATCTTACAACATCCAAGTGCTAAAAATGAAACTGCTCTCATTATAATTGGAAAACAGGAACTGGTAAGAACACTTTCTTTACAGATATCTTGTGAAACTGTTAGAGGGCTATTCGAACCCTAATATGACAAACTTAGAAAACATCTGCGGTAAATTTAACTCTTCAATAGAGAATATGAAACTTATAGTATGTAACGAACTTCAAAGTATAGATACAACAAAGGTTTTAAACTCAGATGCTTTGAAGAGTCTTATAACAGACAAAGTTGGAGTTGTTGAAAGAAAATATAAAGACCAAAGAGTTTGTGAAAATGTGCAAATTTCATCATGGTTTCAAACAATGTTGTTCCGATGAAGTTAGAAAGTTCTGACAGAAGATATGTAGTTGTCAGAACGTCAGATTCTCATATGCAAGATACAGAATATTTTGACGACTTAGCAGAAACTTTGACACCTAACTTTTACAACCACTTGTTCTCATATTTTCATGACATTAGATATTTCAAAGTTCAATCCAAGACAAATTCCACATACCGAAGAAAGACAAACATTGTTTAGAAGCAAACAAGAGTGTATATGAACTGTTCATAGATGAGACTAACTTTGAGTGTTTAGATAGAAGGTCATTGTACGATTCGTATAAACAATATTGTCAAGAATATGGTTATATGGCAGCGTCTAAACGAACATTCTTGGCAAATGTCAAAAATCTTTTAGATGTTCAGAATGGTGTATATACAAAGAAAAATTTTTCTGAGTAAATTTAAAAAAAATATTTTTTTATCCGATAGAAAAGATGACGAAATATATTTCAGTCAACAAGTACATGACAGAAGTCAAAGAAGAACTAGACCCATTCGCTTATTTGAATGTTTACTTCTACCATTTTGAAAAGTCTACATTTGACAAAGTTTTGGAACATCGAACCAGTTAAGTTTGCTATTGTGACTAAAAATGGTGCGAAATTTGAAGACTTAGACATAGAAGGTTTGTTAGCAGTCAAAGAAAATTTTGACAGAAGGTTTTCAAACCTTAAAGAAGGCAAAGCATACAAACTTGTTATACCTTATGAACCAAAGAAAGCAGACGACTATGAATATTATGAGTCTAAGATAGTTGAAGTTCAAGGTAAATTGGGTAAAAAGATTTTTAGAGTCTAAGCCAGTGTTTTGCTCCTAAAGAGGAGAGAACATTGACATTGACCAGAAATGTTCTAAAAATAAAATTTTTATTTTTACATGTCAAATTTCTTTTTCTCTGGAACTGGTTCAGGTTCTTTCTTCTCTTCTACTTTCTTTTCTTTCTTTCTTTCCTTTCTTCTTTCTTCTTCTTTTCTGGTGGAGTTATGTCAAATTTCTCAGAACCATATTTATGTAAAAGTTCTTTGTCCTTTAATAAGCTCTTTCTATTCTGTTTTCTATTTCATCTTCAAGAACAGCGCATGTGTCTCTTTGCATTCTAAGAACTTTTGTTGGACTTCATCTTTCAAGAGGCGTCATCTCTGTTCAACAAGTCTGTCATTGACAAATTTAAGACTGCTCTGGCTTAATGTTTTATGGTTCTTGTCATATTCCCAGAAACAGAACTTTTAGAACAAATTCCCCTTTCTTGTTTACACTATGTAAGATTTTTATGGTCGACAGATGTTTTGCTGTCGAAAAGTTTGTCTCGAATATAGATAGCGAAATCGCTAGACATTTTTCAAAAAGATAAAAATTTTAATTCTATAAAAATATGTTAGAAAAAAAGTTGCTGACATTACAGAAATTTGAGAATGTTTTAAACAAGGAACAGAGGGAAGTGCCGAAAAAGCCTCAGTAAAACCCATACATGAACAAGTTCTTATTTGCGTCAGAATGGTTATAACGAGTCTAATCGCCACCACCTGCGTCGGCGTAGACTTTCACTTATCTTAAAATGGCTGCACAACAACCAGAACTAGATGAGAAAACCCATTCTATGAGTTAGTTGTCATTTGTAGTACTTACGGCGTTCAATTTGACCAACGTCAATTCGTTCAAGTATTATAAAGGAAGTCTAATTATATGTATAAAAGCTCTGAAGGTTGTTAGATTGGCATTAAAGACAGCTACAAAGAAGAGTTTTGAAGATAATGCTATACATGAGTATATAAATTCTAAGTTAAAGACCAAATTGAGGAATGCAGAGCGAATATTAGAGAAAGAAACACTTCAGAAACAAACGAAAGAGGTAGAATACATCAAGAACAGAAATTTGCAATCTTACGATTGCGGAAGACATACCCTCTAGATGTCTTCTTTCTTAGATGACTTTGCTTCTCTCTCTATGCTTAAGAATAGAGAACAAGGATTTGTGTCGAATTCTTAAGAAGCTCAGACACTTTAACATACTCAGTTGTCATTTGTGTACAGACAGCAAAGGTTCTTAGTAAGGATTAAAGAGAATACTTACTGATATCATACTTTTCCCTTGGATTGTCCGAAGACGATTTTCATGGAACTATGAAGAGTCCTGCAGGTAGTGACGACTGAACTATGGGAGAAGTACAAAGTCATACAAGCCCTCATACTTCTTTCAGAATTCACATCTACGCCAAACAAGTTCAATTGTAAAAGTCAAAGCTTCGAAAAATAACATGGTTCATCTACCCTATTGTTTGAGTTGTCAAACTACTCTGTATGTTTTGTTGTCTTGGACAGCTTTCTCTAGCCTTCACGTTCTTGTCTATGATTTCGTCAAAGAGTTTACAACAGTACCAAGCATAGCGACGGTGAAGCCCCACATTGCACAGCATTATACAGAAGTCTATGATAACATACCAACCTCTCAAACCATTTTGGCAATTTTTTCACGATTTTTCAGATAAAAAAGTTATGTCTCGCTGTGCTTCGCTCAAAATTCTTTTCTGTGGTTTCAAACCAGTCTTGTGCCTTGCTTTGTTAGAACGAAGAGCATTCAAAATTACTTTGCATTTGGAACATGCTCATCTTTGACCGAGGAATGAAGACGGAGTTGTTTGCTTAAACTGAACCCCACTCATATTCTTCATTTCATAGTTCATGCGACTATTAACTGTTGTGTGCTTCTCTTGTTGTTGACATATCTGTCCTTACATACAAAATAAAAAAAATATTTTTATAAACAAACTAGCGTTAGTTCTTCTATCTTAAGGAAATTCATGAATTTCATACGGAATATGCAATAAAAATTAATGTTTATGTTAGAATGTTAGATCTAAACATTGTTTTCTACTATGTTTTCTAACATGGTCTAAAAACATACAAAACTCATTGAAATTTCATACGCGGAATTCAGCAAAAAATAATGTTTATGTTAAGAATGTTAGGATCTAACATCGTTTTCTACACATGTTTTCGTAACATAACTATTTACAAGCGTTTTACATGGTATATGTTGCGCATGGTCTCATGCACTCTAAACAATTTCGTAGCTTCTATTTCTTCTGTCAGTATGTCAAAATTTTAACGATACGAAAGTTTCTTAATATACTTCTTCTTGACGTCAGATAGAAGGAAAATCGTCAGGCAGTTGGATAGTTTTGTCAGAAATTCTAACATGTTTTCATCTTTATCTTCTGCTTGGTTTTCTGCTTTCTTCTTAAATCTGCATAGTCGTTTCGCATTACGTTCTATTCTCTTTGACGGTTAGTAGTTATATTCCTCATTGCTGCTTTTACATTTTGAACACTGCGGGTCTATTTTTTGCGTTATATTCTGAAACCTTACCTGCTAAAACCAAACCAAGGCGTCAAATGGTTTTCTTGCATTCTCGAAACATTAGCCGGGTTTTATTTGATTCGTTCCATACCTTACCCCTAACTATCTTTATCTCTTATTTCCCAAACACATTTTGCAACTAACGCCAAACAAGTTGTCGTAGTCTTAATTCTTCGGATTTGTAAACAGTCAGAGATGCTTCTTATTATACCAATTCGCCCAATCTTTGTCCATAACCTTTATGGTTCCAATGAAAACCAAGGAATTCATAATTTACCTTTCGTATGAACTTCTTATATTTCTACTGAGTCAGTTGCTGGACTTCTTTTCGTTTCAAATTCCACGGATGGTTAGTTTTGTTGTTGGATTTCAGCATTTGGGTAAAATGGTCAATAATGCCTGCGATTTGTCAAAAGATACTGTTTCATTTGTTTCATCTTTCGCAACCTTTTTTTTTTACATCTAAATTACTTTGTTAAAAGTTCTTGTTTATCTTCTGGATTTTTGTTTCCGAAGTATTATGAAGAAGGAATGAAGTTTTTTTCATCTCTACTACATAGATGTGATTCATAACTAGCGAGTTTGGTTGCTGTAGTTGTTGAATTGTGTTGTGCCACTGTTGAAATTCATGTCTTTTATACAAAATAAAATAAAATAAATAATAAAAATAAAACTAATTTTATTTTTTTATTCGGGAAAATTCATGAAAATTCAAGAAGTTTATTAGACCATGTTAGGAAACGTGTTAGAAAACAATGGTTAGATCTAACATT